TGCTCTTTTGATTTGCGCGAAAATTTGAATGCTCATGTTCCAAACGCTCTCATGTGATTTCTTTTTGGAGGAAGGAAAAACCTCCAAAATTCACGTGAAAAAAAAAATTACCGTCCCAAATATGTCCACAAATGTGTGTTCCATTTCCATACATGCGCCAGAATTTGCACTCGTCTCGATGCTGGCGGCGGCGCGTCGCCAATACGCGGCGCGGAGGTGGAGCCGTGTGTCCGCCCGCGTGGCGTCCACTCTCCCTCCACGTTTTGGCGTCCTCATCGCCTTCCCGGGAATCTCCTCCAGCTACTGCCCCTCCCCTTCCCTTCGCTCCCTTTCCCCAAGCACTGCTACTAGTACTAGTACTAGCATCGCTTCAGGTCTCCGCCAAGCGCAGACACCGCAGTAGCAGCACGAACTGGCGATCTCCGCCGCATCCAACCTCCTCCTCCGGTGATCGCCGGACGGGCGTGGTTGGAACCAGCGGAGCGCAGCCCACCTCCTTCCGCTGGTAAGCGTCACGCCCGCCCGCTCCTCCCTCCCTCCGAAGCTCCACCCCGCGGGCCCGGGCCCCCTGGTCGCTGCGCCCGGATGTGTGCGCCATCTGCTCGACGAAACGCCGCTCCGCTTAGGAACATGCTTGCTTGCTGCTTCTCGCTCAATTTCGCTCGCTTCCTCTCTCTCGATGCGGCTTGGGGCTTTGCTGCGGAGCTAGTTAACCAGCAGAGCTAGATGGCAGATGCAGATCGCTTGCTCCTCTATCGTTTGACTTTTGGAGTCACCATTTCTGTTTGGTTTGTTTGCCTCTGTGTGTGACAGCTGCAGATTCTCGATGGATATGGATGGGGTTCTGCAAGCCGCGGATGCCAAGGACTGGGTTTACAAGGGGGAAGGCGCCGCGAATCTCATCCTCAGCTACACCGGCTCGTCCCCTTCCATGGTATGCGCCGAGTAGGTTCTTAGTGTGACCGCATCGATCACTTGGCTTGCTGTGAGTTTAGGGGCTTCATGTGATTCACGAGTGGGCCATTCCAGCCCCAGATCCAGTACCCTGTCTAGCAAGTGATGAAACATGGATCAGGGCGTTCACGTGATAGCTTGAAAATTAAGCACATGTTGCTTTTCCATGATTGTGCATTTTGTGACGATGCATGTGTTTTTCCTGAATACTATGATGGATATGTTTGGAGGAAGCATTGTTTCACTGTGATGATAATGATGTTACTTTCACTTGTTTTCAGCTTGGCAAGGTACTGCGGGTCAAGAAGGTTCTAAAAGACAAGTCGCAGCCGGCACCAAGTTGTTTGGTCTTCTCAAGTCATGAGAAACTCCTGTGGGGCCATATCCCAGAATTGGTTGAGTCTGTCAAGCAAGATTGCTTGGCTCAAGCATATGCAGTGCATGTTATGAGCCAACATCTGGGTGCCAATCATGTCGATGGTGGGGTATGGTTCAGATTCAGTTCATTTATGTCCTGTTATTGTGATTTACTTGGGTATTGTTCACTTCTAGAAGAAATTGGAGATTTGCGATCATTTCCTTATAATCACCATCACCCTACTGAAATAGAAATAACATGTCATCAATGTGCATACTATTGAATTTTGACACGAATATGCTTCATTTCATCGTTTGTTGCTAATTCCAGTAGGCACTACTCTTTGGATCTGCATGACTAGACAAAGAAATCATGTTATCTTTCCACGATGCAGGTTCGTGTACGTGTTTCTAGGGATTTTCTGGAGCTTGTTGAAAAGAATGTTCTTAGCAGTCGTCCTGCTTGGAGAGTAAATGCAAGTTCAATTGATAACACTGCGGATGCTGCTCTTCTAATACCAGACCACTCGTTATTTTCTGGTACACACTTACATATATTGATACAATCTCCATCCCTCCTCTTATCATAATCTGAATCTTGTTAGTTAAGGTTAAAAAATATGATTGATTAAGCAAGGTCCAGAGCTGTATTAATTTCTCATGCACCGATGTTTTGATGGAACATTTGCAGCAAGGCTGTTGCTTAACTTTTTTCTATTTGCATTGGACGAACAGTCGGCTTCTTTGTCTATAAAGATCTTCCAATTTGCAGTTCTTATAGGTTTAAATTTGCAACTGTCATTTACAACAGCCCACTGGGTAGCATCAAGATGGGTAGAAACTGGCTTGTTTTCTCATTGATTTATAACTTAAATTCTTGGTTAAACTACTAGAACATGGTTGGTGTCTTCAAATGCTGCTGATCCTGAAGCCATAACCTGAAATCATTGTAGTTTGATAGTTTCCTCTAGTCCTTTAGATATTTCCAGAACTCTATATAGATTGAATGTATGTTTGCTTACTAAATCTTTCTTAATCTCAGGTAATCCTAAGGGTAGCAGCTGCATAGCTGTAGAGATAAAGGTACTTTGCAAGCTTCCTCTTTTATTCTTATTTTTCATTTCTGATGTGTATTTCACCTTCACCATTTGACTTCTTTTCGGCTTGCTTTACCTTGCAGGCCAAATGTGGGTTTCTGCCATCATCAGAATATATATCAGAAGATAATTCTATCAAGAAACAAGTAACGAGATATAAGATGCATCAGCACCTCAAATTTCATCAGGGTGAGGTATGTAGATTGGAATGCTTGATCCAAGATAGAATTCCCCTCTCTTTTGCACACTTAAAAAAAACATCCATCGATGATACAGATTTTATGACAATACCGTAAGGCTTTTCTTGTTATTTATGGCACTCTTGTAATACTACACCATCTCTTTTGCTTTTTGACATCAGGTTGATTCCCAATACATTCTTGCACACATTTCAGATATCGAAGACTAGTGAATACAATCCTCTTGATCTATTTTCTGAGTCAAAAGAAAGAATACGCATGGCCATCAAGTCATTTTTCTCAACTCCTCAGAACAACTTCAGGATTTTTGTCAATGGATCTTTAGCTTTTGGTGGCATGGGAGGTGGTACAGATAGTGTTCATCCTGCTGACACTGATAAGTGTATTGAAGATCTCAGCAAGGTTAGTGGCCTAGAACTCCCTGACTTCACTGAGCTCCTGTCAGAGACAATTTTTAAATCTGGGGTATTAGGCAAACTGTTGACCACTCAAAAGCTGGACTATCATGACATTGAAGGGGCAATTCATCTGTACTACAACATAATTTCTCAGCCTTGTTTGGTCTGCAAAAACCTAACTGATGTAGAGCTATTGCGGAAGTACACTCTCTTGCATTCTCTTCCGTTGGACCAGAGCCTGAGGATTGTCAGGGACTTCCTCATTTCTGCTACTGCAAAGGACTGTAGCCTGATGATCAGCTTTCGGCCAAGAGAGAATGGAAGTACAGATTCTGAGTATGATTCAGTGTTTCTTGAATCAGTGAAGCGAACCTATGAGTACAAGGTATTCTACTGTGAAATCTAGTGTTGTTGTACCTTCTAGTCGTCCAGCTCTCCAGCCACAAAACTAGCTATATAGTTCACAACTGAGTTTGTTTGTGAATTTATTTCTTTGCTTATTTTTTTTCGGGATAAATGGTGTTAAACTGCACATTCCTTTTGCAGGCATATTTCGTTGATCTGGATGTGAAACCTCTGGTTAAGATGGAACATTATTTTAAACTGGATCAGAAGATAGTCAATTTCTACACAAGTAATGGGGAGGTCTTGCCATCTCCAAAGAGCAGTAATACAAAAGACACCTCACCGATTCAGCTCCAACAATGAGGAGCCTCTCTTCCTATATACGTCTGGAGAAGGGTGCATCAGGGAGTGTTGGTTTTTGTTTCCTGCTGCTGTTGTTGTAACTTCATGAGTATAGTCCCAAGGTTGGGAGGCTCGATCATTACGCCTGGGAAGGGTACAGGGAGCTGTGTTGTTCGTTGTTGCTGTTGTAACTCTACTTGTGCATACACCGTGGCTTGTCACAGCTATTTCCGAAGATGTCCAATGTTAGTTGAGACAGCTGAACTGCTTACCGTGGCAACCACTCATTGTAACATCAAGTTGAAAAATGAGGGCTGAAGTTTCCCTCGCACTCGCAAGGTACTATATGTCATGTGTACCGATTAGTTTGCCCGTGTCATGTGTCTCAGTTTGCTACTGCAGAAATGTTTGGTTAAACTTTCGTCCTCTCACCCTTTGGGCAAACCAAACCTAACTTATTAGAATTAAAATCAGTTCTAGTGGCTGGGAATCTGTATGTAGCCTAGCTGTTGGCTTCAATCGACTAAATCCTGCCCGCCGGACTTGCGATGCTGTCTGTTTTCGTTGTGATGGCTACGGCCTACAGGCCACAAGCGCCTGTCGCCGTCCAGCCATACCTGATGACTGATGAGCTAGCTAATCGAAAGGCATGAAGTGTCTCTGGCACTGCTTGCTTATATATTGTGTTATTTCACTGGTCAAAAACGCATGTAGCCTTTGATTCGCCAACGCCGGCAGGCGTTCGCCGTTTGCAGAACTAGTCAGGGTGGTTCAGCTTCCAGCTTGTAGACAGAGACAAATGTGGACTTCCTGTTTAAACAGTTAGTAATTGCAGCTAAACTAATCGCATACAACTGTCTATTTCGTTAGCGTATCAAAATCACGCACGTCAAAGTTGTAATTTTCTGTCACCAGCCGCCGGCCGGCCGAAATTCTTGAACACATTTTGAGTCGTTGAATAAACCATTGCAAGGACTACAGGAGTGAAATGCATGAGTTCTAGAATCTGCAATTCTGCAGACTGCAGTGTAGTAGTCGCTGAACAACGGCAAGTTAGAGGCCCAGTTGGTGCCGGCAATGTTATGCATTTAGCCAATGCAAAGGACAGAGCGAGCGATTGGACTTCTCCAGGAGTCCAGGCAGGGGTTGAGCTACCCAATTTGTCCCTCCAACCACCCGAAAACCAACCAGAATATCTGCAGCAGGGGAGCAAGACACCTGCCGGTCGGCACTTGCCACTTTGTCACTTGTCAGGCAAGGCCGGAGAAACTAAAACGGCGGCAAAGGGACCCGGCCGTCCGGCGTCCATGTCGAAGGTGACGGTGCTCAAGGTGGACACCTCCTGCGCCAAATGCAAGCGCAAGGTCCTGCAGGCCGTCACCGGCCTCCACGGTACGTACACGTACGAGCCCGCTTCTTCTCCGTTCGGCCATGCACGCACCATGGATCCCGGCAATGCAAAGATCGTTTTGGTGGGCGCAGGTGTTGACAAGGTCGAGGTGGACTCGGAGAAGAGCACGATGACGGTGACGGGCACCGTGGACCCGGTGGACGTGATCGTGCAGGCAAGGAAGGCCGGGAGGCGCGCGTCCGTGCTCACCATCGGCCCGCCGCCCAAGCCGGCCGAGGAGAAGAAGCCCGCCGAGCAGGATAAGAAGAAGACGGAGGAGAAGAAGACGACGGCGGCGGGCGCGGAGAAGAAGGCGCCCGAGACGCCGGCCACGGTGTTCGTCCACCACGTGCCGTCGTGGCCTTCGTGCCCCAGGTACCAGTACCCGGAGAGAGTAGTGTACGAGCAGGAACCGCCGCCTTGCTCCATCATGTAATGTAACTTAACTAACTGAGCCGGATCTGACCATGGTGTCGGATAGCAGAAAATGGGATACCCAAGTAAAGATCGAAAAACTGCTTAGACCCTAAAAACAGAAGCAACGGAATAAACAAACGAGGTATCGGCCGAAATCTTCGATTCGCCCGAGACCCCGTCGCCGAGCCCCAGCGAAAGCAAATGATTCTCCGACTCGCCCGAGACCGCCTCGCCGAGGCCCCCTTGTCGAGGCCCGTTCGTCGAGCCCCCCTCGCCCGGGGCCTCGGAAGAAGTGCCGATTCTTCGATTCGCGCGAGGCTGGCTCGGGACCAGCCCCGTGACCGCCTCTTCGACCGAACTGCTCTGACCGAATGTCGCATCCAAGCGCCCAACCACTCCGACAGACGCACGATGGCACAGTACAGCGAAGTGACCGACTACACGCCAGTCGCGTCAACCTCCTGCCATCTGTGACGGCACAGAGCAGGGGTTACCGACCACTGTGCTGCCTAACTCCTGCACCAAAGACATCGCAACGTGGGGAGTCAGAACGGGTTCCTGTAGCCTCGGAATCGGCGGACCGACCGCTCCGTTCGCCCGAGCCCCCTCGATGGGGCCCTCGATTCACCGATCTTTCTCCGCCCTCGCCCGTCGCCTTCGGTCCGAGACCCCGGTAGGGCCTCGGACCGACGGCCGCCCGCCTCGCCCGGTCGGGCTCGCCCCCAACCTCGTCGCCTCCGCCTCAAAGGTCTCTCTTGCAGGTCGTCGCATCCGACACGCGCCACCGCACCACCGCTACACGTAAGCCACGATCGGCGGTCTACCGCAACAGAGCGACGGACAACGGTCGAGCACCTTTTTACCATCCCTACCGACAACACAGTACTGCAAGATCCTCAGAGGCGCACGCCTCGCCTTGTTCCGCTTTGATGGCCGCCGAGACCCAGATTCGCACTGGTCACTTCTCGGCCTCGGCACGGGCAGTTCCTCGGCTGCACAAGCCTCGGCACGACCGGCTATGATGGCCGCCGAGCTTCTGTAATCCACCAAACCAACAAATGTGCAGCATGTTACTTACAGTGGAGACCATACCGATTAGACATCTATGGAAACTCCCACGACAACGCCATGCTGCTCCAGGAGTAAATACGTCATCGAATAGTCCGCCCCGTGTAGCTCTCTTATGTACTCCTGGTTTCCTCCCTGCAGCTATAAAAGGAGGCGGCCAGGACCGTTTCTAGGGACGGCGGATAGAGTCACGAATACTCGCACGAACAACACGCCTTATTCTGTAATTCATATCACCTCCCCTCACAGACCGGGACGAACTCCTCTCTCGCCCCAACTTTGTAACCCCTACTACGAGCACCCGGTGCAAGGAATACAAGAACATCTTCTCGGATCGGACGTAGGGCATCCATTGCTCGAACCAGTATAAACCTTGTGTCTTTTTGCATCACCATCCGGAATTGGGAGCATGCAGCACAAATTCACTAGTCGGTTAAGGACCCCCGGTTCCGAAATGCCGACAGTTGGCGCGCCAGGTAGGGGCCTCTACGTGTCGCCTTAGTCATCCCACCAGATTCCGATGGTAGATCCCGTCGATCGTTATGCCTCGGACGATCGTCTGTTCGAAAGCCTAGAATTCATGTCTCTAGGGCACGAGTACGACATGGTACTCCTCTCACCCAGAGCGCCATCAACCAACGACGACGTCATGCACCGGCAGCCCACGCGCGGACGGCGCCCGGACCGTCGCTCCCGTCAAGCTCACCAAGCGCCACACGGGCGAGTCCACCCTAACACCACGCAAGTACAGAACGCCGATCTGTGCTCCACCGGAATCCCATACCCCGCTGCTGGCACAGAGTCCCTGCACGGGGACCTGTCCGGCTTAAGCCTCGACAGGGGAAAAGGGCCGGTGGCGCACAGCGACGCCCCATCATCAAGCTCTGTCCCGCCTCCTCCCGAGGAGCCAGCTCTGGCGGAGCCGAGCCTGGCGACGGCGCCATCCCCATACCCTTTCGGGCTGACCAATGTCGCCGCCTCCTACGCCACCGCCCTCGTCTCCATTCATCAACATCATGCCCATAACCCCATAGTCACAACTCCAATCCACCCCCACTCTGACTCCTCGGAGGAGGACGAGGCATGGGTTGGAGCAGACTTCTTCGGGCTTCGCGACCCTGAGGCGATGCGCCGCTTCATGATCGCGAGCGACTACTGCTTCGGCTACTCCGATTCCGACGACGAGGACGCTTACGACCTGACTCGTGAGTGTTTCCACATCGGACTCGGAATGCCGAGCACGGGCAACGATGGAGGAAGGGCAGCCAACGCCACACCACCACGCACGGGGTCCCCGCTAGCGGCGGCAGGTGTCCCCACCCCCGAGCAACTTCGACGCATAGACCTAGAGCAACTCCGTGAGCTTCAAGCCAAGGTCAAGCAAGATCGACTCCTCCTGCAGCAGCTCCGAGCCACCCTCGAGCAAGAGCAGCGGGGGCACGGCGATGGCGGAACAGCCCGGCTGGGGGCTCGCGACGTCAACCGCCGCATTAACGATGATGAGGGGGGCGAGCAACCCCCTGTCTTCAATCGCACTAGCCAGAACGTCGCTGCGGCGGCAATACTGGCCCGAGCAATGCCCGAGCCCTCTACCACGGAGGGGCGATGAGTCCACGGCGAACTCTGGGGCCTTCTCGAGACTGTCGCGGTGCAGCAGGCCGAAAGCTCCGCGTCTCGATGACGCGGGGACGCCTCGAAACAGCCCTCGGTGCACGACCGCCTTAGGGCCCCCTCGGTGCATGACCGCCTCAGGGCCCCCTCAGTGCATGACCGCCTCGACGACCAATGCGAGGCGCAAAACGGCCACCACGTGGGTAGCAGACGATGGCGCCACGACCACGATGGGGCCGCCCGGGGCTACCAATTGCACCGAGGTGGTCGCTATGACAGTGGGGAGGACCGTAGTCCTTCTCCCGGGCTGCCTGGCCCTAGAGTTTTTAGTAAGGCCATCCGCAGGGCCTGCTTCCTAGCCCAGTTTCGTCAGCCAGCGAATCTCTCAAAGTACAGCGGCGAGACCAACCCCGAGCTATGGTTGGCCGACTACCGTCTGGCTTGTCAGCTAGGCGGTGCGACGATGACCGCTCATCATCCGCAACCTCCCCTATTTCTGCTCGGGACTCAACCATGAGCCTGGCTCGAACACCTCCCCCCTATGCAAATCCACGACTGGCGTGGACTTGGTAAAGGTCTTCGTCGGGAATTTCCAGGGCACCTACGCGCGCCCCGGGAACTCCTGGGACCTCAAGAGTTGCCGCCAGGGGCCGGACGAGTCTCTCTCGAGACTTCATCCGACGTTTCTCCAAGCAATGCACCGAGTTGCCCAAATAGTCGGTGACTCGTAAATCGTCCAGCATTCCTCTCCGCACCACCGCCGAGACTCGGTCCGAGAATTAGGCCAAAGCGCATCGACCACGGCGTCCGCACTCCTCGACATCGCCACCACCAGCCTCATGCGCGAAGAGGCCATCGAGGCCATCTTCCCCAACAACGACTCCAAGGGAAGAGGTGAGATGAGACCCCGGGCCTCGGCGCCTCGCCCCCAGAAAAAAGAAGAAGGGATGCCAGGGAAACAGGAGGTTCTCAAGGTCGGGGCTCGTCGCGGCATGGACCGCAAGAATCCCCGAGGCCCGTGGCTCTTCGACAACATGCTTAAAAGACCTCGCGCATACCATCGTGGCCCAAGATAAAGCACACCCTCGAGGAGTGCACCATGCTCCGTGATACTACGCCAAAGCTCGGGCTCCGCAACGACGATGCTAAGAAGAGGGCCAGGACGACGGAGACAACGACAAGGACGACGGGTTCCCCGAGGTACATAATGCCTTCATGATCTTCGGTGGGCCCTCGACGTGCCTCACGGTGTGACAGCAAAAAAGGGAACACCGAGAGGTCTTCTCGGTTAAGGTGGCCACTCCCCGGTACCTCGACTGGTCTCGGGAGGCGATCACCTTCGATCGGGATGACCACCCCGATCATATCCCAAACCCCGCCAAGACTACTCATCGTTGACCCGATCATCGGGAACACCCGACTCACCAAGGTGTTGATGGACGGAGGCAGCGGCCTCAACATCCTGTATGCCAACACGCTGGGGCTCCTAGGGCTCGACCGGTCACAACTCTGAGGCGACGCCACGCCCTTCCACGGCATCATGCTAGGGATGCGCGCGCGACCCCTCGGGCGCATAGACTTACCCGTCTGCTTCGGCACCCCCTCCAACTACCGCAAGGAGACCCTCACCTTCGAGGTGGTGGGGTTCAAGGGGAGTTATCACGCCATCCTGGGACGGCCGTGCTACGCCAAGTTCATGGCGGTCCCAAACTACACCTACCTCAAGCTCAAGATGCCGGGCCCCAACGGTGTCATCACTATTTACTCCACGTACGAGCATGCATACGACTACGACGTCGAGTGCATCGAGTACGCCGAGGCTATAGTGGAGTCCGAGGCCCTCATCGCCAACCTCGACCAAGCCTCAGCAATGAGGTGCCCGATTCAAGCTGCCGCGTCGTCTTTGGGGCGTTCGAGCCCATGGAGGCCGTTAAGCTCGTCCCCGGTCGACCCCACTTGCTCAAACAACCGAGTCTTTGAGGGTCGGCGCGACCCTCGGCAAGACAAATAGGGGCCGTGCTCGTTGACTTTCTTCGTGCGAACGCCGACATATTCACGTGGAGTCCCTCGGACATGCCGGTCATACCCAGGGAGGTCGCCGAGCACGCCCTCGACATCCAGGCCGGCTCTAGACTAGTGAAGCAACGCTCATGCCGATTCGACGAGGAGAAGCGCAGGCCATCGGCGAGGAGGCATGTAAGCTTTTGGCGGACGGATTCGTCAAGGAAGTGTCCCATCCGGAGTGGTTAGCTAATCCTCAGATTAGTTAAGAAGAAAAATGGAAAATGGAGAATGTGTGGACTACACCGGTCCGAACAAGGCATGCCCAAAAGTCCCGCT